TTTTTGAAAAAATATTTTCAATGTACATACCCATTGAGCCGAAAATGGGGCTCATCACTGAAAAAAATTTGGCTCGAAAGCGTCGAATGTTCTTCGAACTTTTCAGGAGCCTATAGAGCGAAGCAATGTCGCTTACGAAGGTCGAGCGGCTTCGGTTTCTCGTAGCGTTTCAATTTAAGATCTGGACGTAAAATACGCCACCGACTCTCCACGGTCTACGTGGGACTCTCAGCGGCTGCTATGTTTTCTTCACTGCGTGCTGGACATGGTTTATTCGGTTGAATATTATCTAATAATGAATGCTGGGTCGCAAGATGGGTGATGGCGTTGCAAATAGTATGCTCAGTAGACCGATTATGCGAAACATATGCTTGACAGAACGAGAATTTTGGTAATAAAATTGAAAAATAACATGACAGGTTTGACACGACTCACGCGTGATCAAAAAAAGGATTATTGAAAAAAGTACCTCTACTTGGATCACCCGTTAGTTTTGCCGCAGATAAATTGACCATTTTTTCCTGCTTCTACGAGATTTTAATTTGATAAATTTTTAATAAACACTTTTTTCAATCTCTTCACTTCCAAACTATGTAAGCCTAAACACACAATAGCATTTGTTTTTGAGACGTCAAAAAGGCGTTGAACTTCAGCGATATGCGAAAAAATACGAAGACGAATTTCGAAGAAAACATAATCAAAGCGCTAATGTTGATTTAAAATTGGTCCAAATGATAAAGCAACAAAATAGATAATTATGTATGCACGGCTTTGTTCATATGCTTTAAGCAATAAATAAAGAATGCAATAATTTCCGCATAGTAGTAATGCTGACTGATTCGATGACGCACCCACATGCATGTAGTTATATATTCATTTAGAAGTATGTGAGTTCCCGCATATGTGTATATACTGCTTTATTTAATAGGTCGAAATTAAAACTTTAGACACACATAGATAAATATTAAGTCGATTGATAGAAAAAACTGGATTTACAAATTCTTCGGTTGACCTTGCAATGACGGTGAATAAATTTTGCGCAAATTTTGTTATTCTTTGAGTCTGCTCTTTGCATGCGTGTGTGTGTGTATGTGTGTGCAGCAGCGCAGATTGTTAGAATTCAAATAATTTACCGGATATTCTTAGATCGTGTGGATCGTGTCATCACATTCGCTGTGTAGGTGTGTATGGATGTGTGGCTCTGTATGTAATTTAACCTATTTGACTTCCTCAAACGTAGTCTGCAAATGAAGAGGAAGTGGCTACTTTGCAAAAACAATGCGAATGCAAATAAAAATTGCCAGTTATTTGTATGTACACATGTATGTATATGTGTGCTTTTTGTGGTGAACTTGCGAAGTGGCGTTCTGCCACTCAACGACGTGTGCTTCCGTGCTTTTTAGCAGGTACTTTTCAGTTTTACATTCGTGCGATTTTTTGCATTGCGATTTTATGACATAATACGCGCCACTTGAGCGTTTAACTATTAAGAGCGCATTTTATGGTTCAATGTTTTGTAGAATACATGATAAGCTGGTTTTTGTAAAGTCTTAGTGAACGCTATTAGCGGCATGTGTATCAATTAATTATTTGGTAATGTACGAAGTTATTTTTATTTAATCTGTTAGTTACACCTAAAAAACTGTTTGCATAAACTTAAAATGTTTTGATTGAGATCACGATGTTGCTAGTAGCGTCATATTTCAAGGGCACATATGTATTTTTCAGAACAACTTGTCATTAAGTGCTTATACATTCTTAGATTTAGTCCTGCCATAAGCTCTGTAACAAGTTCAGAACGTTAGAAATGGACAACTTAATATATTTATACCCTAAACGAGGTATATTGAGGGCCTACTCGTCTCAGTCCTTCTACCGTCCATCGCATTTATTGAACAGTGATGCTATCAGCCTTTACTCTTACAAGGAATTAACCAACTGAGTAGCGGCACCTTCTCCAATAAAAAAAACCGGACATTCCAGATGCATGGTCGTCATCAAAACGAGGCTCTCTCACCCGAAGCTTTTTTCTTTTTTTCATTAGGAATGTTGTTCACGTGGCTAGTCCCAAACCTTCTCATTTTAGCTCGCCTTAAAAAGGATGTTTTTTGGCTACCCAGAGGATATTTTCTCTAAGAGCGGCAGCCGTGAGCTCTTTGAGCCATATGTAAAAGTATCGTTTCTGGCCTCTCCCAAGTAAATGGCACTCACAGAACTTGTCTCACTTGCGTGAACTTCGACACCAGGCTGCAGATTATTCAAAGATGGTCGAGATGATCGCTACGTCAAAAAAATAAAAGAATTGGTGATTAGGATTCGACGATTTACAGGCAGAGATCCTATTGGCATCGTTAGAATATCGGAAGCATAGGTTAAAGCCATTTGAAAGATCATTTGAGCCTAGTGAAAGTGAAAGCACGATTGGTTCCAACATCACTAAAATTTTTCGAAAAACAGTGCACGTTAAGGTTTGTCAAACAATGCTTTCCGACTACCGGGATGTCATGAAATGTTTTATTTTTGTCGACGAGTGTTGGATCTATGCTTTCGACCGGTAAACAGCCGACCAATCTGATGAATATCGTGGCAAAGGTGAGCGAAATCCGAAAAAACCACGTCAAAGCAGATGAAAAACCAAAGTTATGTTGAAAGTTAAAGTAGGTTATCGAGACTCTTAGCTTTCCTTCCTACTGTCAGAAAGGAATATTATTTTTATTTATTATTATTTATTATATTTTATTTATTATATATTATTATTATTATCTTTTTTTATCCAAAAATCTATTAGACAATCTCTTTTAGAAAGAGATAGAAGGACTACTATAATATTTATATAAGTTATTCCAGCTAATTCTCGGTTGAAAATATTTTTCGCGCTTAATTGCTGACACATAGCGCCAACAGCTGCAAAAAGTGGTAGAAAATTGGTCCACTCAGCTGGAATTTATGCCAACCAACCGCATCGTTCACTTGCTCGAAATAATTTCTTGAAACATAAAAGAAAACTCTTATGGATGTAAAAAAGCTAAGTTATTGTTTCAGTTCTTCTTGAAAACCTCTTGTCTAAAAAAAAACGCCCTTTAATTACCAAACAGTGTACCATAGAAGCACAACATTGGCAAAAATACAAACAGTGATGCTTTTGAAGAGTAACCGCGTTAAGAAATCCTTCTTAGTCCTGTTGGGGGTGAATATCAATAATACTTGTGCTGAATCAATGCTCGATGTAGGGGGGAAGACAGCAATACAGAGTTGTATGGAATATTCCATAAATTAGTTTTCCAGTTACCAGTCGAAAAGCTCGAACGAGTCATCGAAAATTGTAGTTAATGGACGGACCGTCTGATACGCAGCCGCGGCCACCATTTGAAAGACGAAATCTTCAAAAAATAAATGCCAAATAATCTTCTTCAAATGATGATAAATATTTTTATTAAATTTGAAGTTTCTGTGGCGTAGAGTTACTACCAATTTAAAAACTAAAGCACTACTAAGCATAAATTAAAAAATTTAATTTCTCCACCTTTGTTACCACACCACACAAGTCGCTTTTGGTTGAGTTGAACTTGGCTGTAAAACCAAATTGAAGACAAAAATTTACAACAAACATTACAACTGCGCACGCGCTTAAATTGACATTCCCATTGAATGAGCTGTCAAAACAGTGCAGTTTTCCAGAAGAGAAACATTATTTAGAACAAAGAATTGAAGAAACTGACTTTTCTTTGTTGAATTGAATTATTAGAAAGTAAGAGTTAAGCATAAAAGGGACGAGCATAGAAGACTACAAGACTACGTGCAGCAACAAATTGATTTATTAAAGAACCGGAAGCGAAAAGTCCATAATTTAGAGGACAATTTTAGTCCGTTCGGTGTGTGAGTGAGTCACATTAATTTACAATAATAATTTTTGCAATAAATCTCCGTGCCTTCAAATATATGGAACAGTGTGGGAAGTGTGCTAAAGGACTGATGATTCATCGGTATTCAAGAATATACTGTAACTTGGTGCTTGCTAGTTATTATTATGATTTTTAGTAGGATAAAAACACTAAAATAACAACCGCTACAAAGACGGTTGCGGACCGAAACTAAAGAAAAAATCGATAATTAAGAAAAATCAAAACAAAACCTCAGGAAAATCCACTTAATGAGGCAAATAAGTAATGCAATTAGTGCAACAACAACTGCAAACCACACTCGACTAACTGCTGACCTTTATTTTGGTTAGTGAGTTTCTTGAACTCGCTGCGGCACGCGCACCATTCCGCAGCAACGCAAAAAATCCGACACTTTGGATTCTGCCAACTAACTAAAGCTTCTTGCTGTTTACCTCCACTTCTTTGTTTTGACACGCTATTGTTGCTTTTGTTGTTTTGTTGCGCACAAAGTGTTTGCATTTTATGCTACTAATTCGATTTGCATAACTGGATTGTGGAGTGAGTCGCAGATATTTATATAGATTCGAAATACATATACATATATGAATATTTGAATATTTTCGCGCAAAATTTATTAGTAACACTTTCGAAAAACGTAAGCAACAAAGTGAAATTAGTAAAAACATTACAAATTCCAATTTTTTACTTTCCTTTTTGCCAGTTAAAGTCTTTGAAAAAGATTTTTTTTTTTTTTTTTTTTTTTTTTTTTTTTTTTTTTTTTTTTTTTTTTTTTTTTTTTTTTTTTTTTTTTTTTTTTTTTTTGTAGTAAGTGGAAGAGAGAAAAGCCGGAGTACCAAACAATACTCTAAACCTTACCTACTCAAAAAACATCCACGGAACCACGAGATGCAATACGAGGTCGCACTTCGGCTGCTAGATATAGACCTATGTGAAATCATAACAAGAAGAGCTCCTGTGTTCGAACTTATAAATTGGCAAAAGGCTTGGTAGCCCACCAGTTCGGTTGGATGTCTGAAAGTATGCACTCTCAAGTGTTTAAGACTTTACCCCCCAAACGCGGGACTGTCAAGAAGGGAGTTTTGAGTTCTCTCCAACCCGTCTTCTTCCATACAATTTCAGGCAAAGGCCTGTTAAAAGCCCCACAACTGGGGAGAGGCTAATCTTACTGTGGGCAAATAGATCGCTGGATCTCACCTAGGTCTTTCTTAACAATAAAGGAGCTGGTCCCACCTCATCGTCGGGCGGCATGTATGCAAAGATTAACAAGAAATCTCTAATGTTGCATTCCAGTTTTGCGTTTGGTAAAAGAAATACCGTTAATTCATCTCTGACCATCATACAGGCTCTGCTTCTACCTGCATCATTGGCCACCAGCAGCTTATTACTATTCCCCCTCAATCCAGATGTTACTAGGATTAGGACGACATCGGCTCCGTCTTGTTTGAGACGAAGCAATAAAATTGTTGGAGATTAATCTGGAGGAATATTATCCTTCAGATTCTCCTCCAGAAGTCCTTGCTCATCCACCCACGTCATCCTCGACATGACTCACTTGGTTTTGCAAATGGAACCGATGGACTCCGCCTATAACAGAAACAGCGCTTGCCAATATGGTTCTCTGGTTCTCTCCAGCCTTATTACCGTCCATTCACGTGCGCAGTGAGGGGTTACTGTATGTAAACAATTCCTCAATCTCACTCGTTGACGGATCCTAAGGCGAAGTGGAAGGATGAGATACGAGTGACAAGACATTTTAGGTCTCCTATATTACCCAGACTTACGTTTCCATTCGTTTTCCATTTCTCAGTAAACTGAATCACATGTCTGTCCACATATTTTCGAAGTCTGCAAAACTACCAACGAGTGTAGTTTTTAGTTTTTTCCTTGTAATTAAAAAACGAGGACAATAAAATAATACCTGTTCTGCATTTTCTATATACCTTGTACGGTGTAAACGTCGGGCAGTTTTAACTAATATCATGATGGAATCTGTAGATTCAAAAGCGTTTATTTAAAAGCAAACAGGTCCAAATGTCGACTGTCTATGTACGATTGGAAGTCTGGTTTCATACTTTCTGCATTCCATCCTGGCTGGCACATTTTGGAGCTCTTGTGTCTCTCCTTTATATCTCTTTCTTTATCAATACTGTCGTTGGCACTGATATCTGTTATAAACGCGCGGTGTTATCGTCCGGAAATCAATCGATGATGAAGAGACGTTTCCACTTTGGTCAGTACTCAAAGGCTTAGTATTATTCTACAGTGCTTTTTTTCTTCATTCCTTTTAGTGTTAGCACTTAATCCTTACAACTCAGGAAGCCGTTAAAATCTGTTGATAGTGGGGCCTGTCTGCTACTACTAGACTACTGTATCTTGATCGCAGCTTTATAAAATAACTGTAGAATTTCTCTTCAGTACCGTTTATATACTGGACTTATATTGGAATTCGTCTCCATTGCTGATACGTGGGTGTGTCAAATTGCAACCTTTCAAAATCGCTCGTGTTTGTACTAAATTTTCTTTGAGATGGTAATTAGGCAATAATGTTTTTCACATTTTAATTTAGATTACTGTATTAAAGTGCATAAAGTATGTATAAAAATGTAAGGAAGGACTGCGTTCGGGTGCAACCGAACATTTTTATAATCATGCAACTTGCAAAGTAGGTAAAAAGGTGCAAAATGTGAACCAGTGGATTGGAATGCAAGCAATTATGCAATGTTTCATCAAGATTTCTCAATTTTGTCTCAAGCTACGGCTTGGACGGACGGACAAACAGACAGACAATCATCCAGATTTCAACTTTATGCGTCATCCTGATTTATCTATACATAACCCCATATCTATCTCGCTTAGTTTAAAGTGATACAAACAACAGTTAGGTGAACAAAACTATTATACTCTGTAGCAACATGTTGCAAGAGTAAAAACAAGTAGTGACCCTCACTGAGTTAATTCAAACCAAGTTGATTTAACGACGCCATAGAATAAATATACGATAACTTTAAATACCTCAGCATAAAAAATGTTAAGCAGTTAGCAAAAAATACCGAAAATCCTGTTTTCGCCTTTATTTATTCAAGGTCAAGCGAAATACTTATTCTAAACTGCAAATTCGCAAACATCAACCTCACATTTACTTAGAGCTTTTTTATAATAATACCATTATTTAGAAATCAGACAATTCATTAGAATTTTTTACGGTTATACCTATAATTATGTTCATATATTAATAAATTCTAAATTTTGTTGTCTGAAATGTTATTTCTATATTATTGTATTTGTATTTCGTTGTTGTTACTCGTGACCTCCTGCCTCAGATATGCAAAGTTAGAAGCGCTGAGACGAACTAGTTTTTAGAATTAATTCTGTTGCTTCTTAATTTATACAATGTTTGTTATATATATTATATAACGATACGCTTTCGTTGCGGCACGGAATAGATTTGGGTGGCTTTGATAACGGATGACTCCCATGGAAGGCACTAAAAATTGTCAGTCAGCAGCTCCGTGACTATGCCACTTTGGTTCTATATTTGTCAACAGATGGAGCAGAAGATGATTTTAATGATATTAACCACTTGTAGATAATATGGACCCACAGCCGAAGTTGTCTATTTGGCTGTGAGCTTGATCACAAACTAGTCCGTCGGTAGAAAAGTTATCTGAAAGAATAATTTACGAAATCAAAATCGCCATACAAACGATTTGCCAGATAGATATGTATACATGTATAAAGTGGTTATTTTTAAACGATTCTCAGATCTCAATGGTTTGAACGGAGAGATGTTCAAAAGCTTGTGAAAGCTCATTCCAGGATTCTGGCTATTTATAAAAAGTGAGTCTGGGAGGGATACTTTCCAAGTGAGAATGAAGTATCCTAATAAGTTCAGGAGCGATACTTGTTCATATATGAGCATCAGTCTTCTTCTAGTACTTGGAAAAGTGCTGGAAAAAGTTATGGTGGAAGATCTTCAGAAGCTAGCATGGGGTATGTGGTCTAATAGGCAGCATGGGTTCAGGAAAGGACGCAGTATAGAGGATGCATGGTTTTATGCTCAGAATGTTGTTAGGGAGAATGTCAAGGGGGCGTTTGACTACCTAAGCTGGGGTCGAGTGGTGCAACTGAAAGATCTTGGAGCAGATTTTCGGACATAAACGCCTCTCTAGTCGGCAAAAATGGGAGTGTGGGGATCGGAGTGGCTCCTGACTGCTCGCAAGATTCCAGTGTTTGTAAGTGTTGTGCGCATCCTTCTTCTTCTGGTTAAAGATCTCTCTCACGTTTTAGGTATGAGGTGGGCAATGCTGCTTAAAGGCTGGTTCGTCTACCGATTATTCGGGTGAATGTTTGGTTTGTTAAGAGTAACCCAAACTTCAGATTCTGTCTGAAGCAACAGAGGTACTTATCTGATAAGTCGGGATGTTTATGTGGGAGGCGCGGGTTGAGGGTATGGTGCATTGCACTCGGACATCTGGGTAGTATATGGAGGTACGCTTAGATGTTGGTGCTATGATCTCCACTAGTCGGAGTGCCGAACAGTTAGTCGTTTGCACGTGAATTGTTTAAACGGCGAAGGGGTTTAGCTGGATATTCGGGTTAGCTTCTTGTATGAATAGTGTCTGCCAATAATGTGCGTATGTGGTCCAACTCTTGATTCCTAGTCCAGAGCAGTGTGGAAGCTCAACTGGTAGTAGTTTCGGCTACGAGGTCTGGCTGCAGACAGCGGGGGGGCTGGAGCCTTTGAAGTTCGATCGGAAAATATCGCGGTGGTTATGGTTAAAACCCAAATGTGGGAATTACTGTCGATTTGTCAGTTAAATGTAGTATTACATTGCAAGCGGGTGCCGAAGCGGGTACGGCAGAGATTTTGAGACGAATATCCAACCCTACTATGGTGGTTAATGTGTGTATGCTAATTGGTACCTAAATCCTTATCCTCTTTATCGTTATCTTCTACATCCTCTGTGCTCTTTAGCACCGTGTAGTAAGACTGTCGCCAGTAGGTACCCACGTTAAACAAAAATGACGTTGTGTGTATAAATGTCACCAGTCATGAGTTGAGTGGAAGCTCAAATAGAAGAAGGTGCTTAGAGTTCGCTCAAATTGGCTCATTGCGGTTGGCCCTTTCGAAAAACGGGAGAACTGGCCTTGTAGTTCACTTCAATATGGTCGCATTGCGGCCGGAAAGAAAATGCGAAGACAAGAAAATTAAAAAGAAATTAAGTAACTAAAGATGATAAATCTTTAAAAAATACTTCCTCCACAACAATTGCCACAAAACGCTCCAAAAATAAATAAGTAATAAATTAACAAATAAACGTTTATTAAAAAGAAAAAAGTACTAACTAAGTTCGCACCTCCCACTTTCGGAACAAGAATGGGAAATAATTTACCTGACGGAACAAATTATAATAAAGACAAATAAGACCAATTAGCGCATCAAAACAAAACAGCAGAATGGGAAACATGAGGAAACAGTTACGAGAAATGAAAACGAAAACGAATAGCTCGCGCTCTCAAGTTTCAAAAAGAAACCACGCTGAAGAAATGAAAGGAAAATGGAATACAAAATAACCAACCTTGAAGGTCTCTTCGTCAAGAAAGCCACTACGCGGGCCACCGCCAAACGTTTGCAAGCATTTTGGCGCGCAAAGCCAACGCAACACAAAACGATCAGCTGTGCCGAACAGTGCCGAAGAAAAACAGAAAAGCAAAAATTGGATAAAGAAGTTGAAGACAAAAAAGCCAGCAAAAGCACAAAAAAACAGCGACAGCATGCTTGAGTGCGGTACGAAAACTATAATGCAAAGTGAAGTCAAGCGTACAAAGAAGAGGGAAGATGAGGAGGTGATGGTGTGAGCGGATTACTATAAAGAAGCTCAACAGCTGTGTGACGTTCGATTTTAATTAGGGCTGCGCGACGCTGCCCGCTCAAACTACAGCGTTAGCCTGCCGCTGCACCCGAGCTGCTGAGCGCCTGAGCTAAGCTTTGGCCAAGCTCAGACGCATGCAGACGCTGCCCGCCAGTATGCTACAACTAATGTTTTTTTTTTTGTGCTTTGTTGGCTATCATTTGTTGTGCGCTGTTGTTGTTGTTGCAGCCGAGAAAATCGAAAGCCACACAAAAGTGAGCTGCGCGCCGTGAGTCGAACGGAGAAGTCAAGCGACACTCGAAGCGATTTAGCGAACACTCAAGTTTCTTACGCTCAGCAGAGCGGACGTGTAGCGCGGCATAACGAATATTTTTTTTTACCAAACTCAAGCTCCAAGCTCCTACGTGCAAAGTCTGCTAGCCTGGAAAAAAATTGATAAATATCCACACACACACACATACACTTACGCACAAACGAACAGTTCTTTTTCGCCATCGATTTGGTTTGTTGTGGTTTCTTTTTTTCTGCTGCGTTTTCAAAACTCCTTGCGAAACCATCAAGTCGCATTCGGTCTAAACAAGATTAACTACTTCGTTTTTTTTCTGTTTTGCTTGGTATTCTGTGTTTAGTGCAAGTGGGTTTCCTTACGTTTTAGTGTATATTGAAGAATTTCATGTGATCTGGCAACGTGTTTTCCTTGCAGTTCGCTTGCAATAAGAACTAATTTTTAATTCCAAAACGCGAAAACTCAAATAAACGAATGAACCGAACTTTTGTATTCTCAACAAAATAAAATTTTGTGTTATTAAAATTAACTGTGAAAATGGTGAATAACAACAACAATACTTCGAAAGCCAGTGGCAGCGCAGCCAATGGCCATGTGCCCAACGGACAATTGGCAACTGCGAGCGCGCCGCCGGTGTCCTTTCTCAGCAGCGTTTGGAGCTGGGCGGATGCCATTTGGGATTTCCTTTGGTTCATTATATGCTCAATCGGCTATATTATCCAGGTGAGTCCAAGAGCTGTTGTAGACATTATAGTACTTGGTTAAATACATCGTTAAATCAAAAAATCGAAAGCGATCAGTGGCAAAATATTATTCATATATACCTACGCATCTACTGAAGGTTAACTTTCAGTTTCTTCAATGTATAAACTGGTATTTAAGCATAAAACACTATGATCCAAGGATTTTCGCTCATTTTTTCTATATTATCCTGCAGAATTTTCGAACTTCAATTATAAGTCATAAGTTATGAATCCTGAGACCTGAATTCTTTTTTTTTTTTTTTTTTTTTTT